ATTTTATGGTTTTATAATGATTTTGTATTCACCGCAACATATTGAGAATGACTCAAAACGTATGTTTTGTTCTTTATAATATCATTTTATTTTCATGAATTAAATTAAAGTGTGGTTGTTACATTATTGGCTTTTTGCCCTTCTTTTGTCTATATAGTTTTATACGTATAGAGCCTAGAGGAAGGTCACCGATACCGACATACCACTTTGTTTTTAGACAATATTTCTTAAACGAAAGATAAAAATACAACTTCAAAAACATAAATACAAAGTAAAAAGTGTCTTCTATCAGATAGTATAAGCAATTTTTATAATACTGTTAGCAATGTTGCAATAATTAAGTTTTTCGTAAGTTATGCAAAAATGAGCGTCTGACAAATGGGCTCCAAAACTGACACAGTAGGCAGTAATGCTATGTATTCCTATTCTTTTTCTTTTACAGGAATTATCTGTATAAAGTACCTATAAGTGAATGTATATAAGATTTTTCGGAATCATTTTACTTCGTTATAAAACACACATTTTTATTGAATTATATGCATATTTACTTTATGTTGTTCTGCAAGATGCAAATATGTAACGCGATAGTTTTTCTAGAGTTGTTCCATATATGCACGATTGCCTTCAGCTCCAATAGACTTATTTGACACTATAAAGCAACATTATAAAGATTAAGTTAGCTTATGGTCTGTTTTACGGACAGGTGTGTCGGTTTATGCTGCACCCCAATTTTAAATTAAAAATCGTATTATGAAAAGACTAAGAGAAAAAGTAATATAAATAAAACATTATTTCGGAAACTACAAGTATTTAAAATGACATAATATTATCAATAATATAGTCACTATTATTTTTAAACCTCACAATTTGCAAAAGAAAATCGTAAGAATTTTATTTTCGCATTTGTAGAATTTGTTTTTAGCTAATTTGATATATAAACAAGCCACGAACCTACGAATTATGAGTTTGTACTTCTTTAATTAGCTAAACAGATCATGATTTTATTAGTATTGATAAAATACAATAGTCAGTTTCTGAAAAATAAGGGAGTGTCACTTTAGGAGACCTATGTCAATATCGGCGACTTTTCTCTATTATTTATTAATTTCGTATTAAGGAAATATCTACGTCAGGTAACAGCCCTACGAGTTGAAAAAATGTAAGTTTTTAACTTTTTTTCCGATTTTAATATGAAATCTATTGCAGGAACCCCAAATTTTGTGTCTACTTTAATCCTGTAATAGTACATTACGATACAAGTGCGCAAAGTATTTAGCTGACGCACCCTGTGAAAGTACTATAAATTGGAGGCGGCCGAAAAAATAATGTTACTGTTAAGGTATTAAAAAAGGATACTTTTCGTTTTTCTTTTTTTTCTTTTCTATCGAACTAAAGTGCACTTACCATTCCGAAATATTCTCAGACTGTCACTATGCATGGCATTACTACTATAAACCACGGAGACATCCAGGTAACTGGTCACTTGGGATAATTGTTCTCTCGGGCCAAATTCACAGCCCTCTTTAGGAGCTGGTCCGCTTCTGAGAAATTCCAAACACCTTACACCCAAAGGACCATAGAAATTGTCGCGCAAATTCACTGCTATCGGAAGACACTCTGGATGCTATATGATTTACATATACATATTAGAAACAGGATTATCAAACCTTATGTGGCCTAATGCTTAATATGATCTATTCGCTGTTTCCAGAGATACGGTAGTGTCTCGACGCTAAGGAAAACGTATAGCGTTTTAGTGCGAGACTGTCAAGATATATATAATCAATGCACAAAAAATTAAGAACAGAAGAAAAATATTAAATATTGCAGAAATAAAAAAAATTGTAAATGAATATTACATATAACTGTAATAGATACAAATAAGGTACAGCTTATTTGTATCCATTATGAGTTACGTCCAATCTATGTTCCTAATTTTTTTACATTTAATACTTAATATTTATTCAATAATAAATCAAAATATAATAGGGGAGACCGGGTCTCGTTGGAATAGTTTTTACTTCGGTATTAGATTTTTTAACCAATTAATTATTATGATTAAAATATATTAATATGATAGAGAGAACCTTTCTCTACATTTTCATACCAGTAATGGTTATATATAATGATTATATACAGGCATCGAAAAGTATCGGACCCCCCTAATATCTTTAGTTAGAAGGTTTGATATTAACAATTTGTTAAGTGGCGTGTGATTCCGGCCAGTTAAGGCAAGAGTGGCGTGTGGGTCCGGCCAGTTAAGGCAAGAGTGGCGTGTGGGTCCGGCATTCTTACTGAAAATATTAGGGGGATCCGACACTTTTTAATTAATGTATTTTCTTTAAATCAATTAATTGGTCTCATTATTCCGTGCACAAAAGTATTAAGGTTATGATTACTGAAAACTAAATAATATTTTACAAGATATTTTACATTTT